GCTTCTAGAGAACAAGAGCCATACTGTTGTCTCCTTTATTTCCTGGGAATCCGGTACAGGATCTGGCACCCGGACAGGGCTCAGTCAATGTTTGTGGAATGAATGAGAGAATGAAAGGCTGCTCTCACTTTTTTGTTTTTAAAGATTTTATTTATTTATTTCACAAAGAGAGACATAACGAGAGAGGGGAACACAAGCAGGGGGAGTGGGAGAGGGAGAAACAGGCTTCCCGCGGAGCAGGGAGCCCGATGTGGGACTCGATCCCAGGACCCTGGGATCATGACCTGAGCCGAACACAGACGCCCAACGACTGAGCCACCCAGGCGCCCCGCTGCTCTCACTTTTTGAAGTAAGATTGCAAAGCAGCCAGTACCTTTCCCCTTCCCCAGGCCCTGGACACCTGAAGCCCTTTGATCGCAACATTTCTTGGTTTTCCTTGTCCCCCGCTGCGGGTCTTATGCTATTACACTTGCAGCTCCCTCCCCTGCTGTGGACCATGGCCCTCCCCTCTCCAGCCCTGTGTGCAGGAAGAACTGGGATGGAAGACATGGGTCATATACGTACCTGACTTTGCCCACAGGCCTTCTTGCTCTCCAGGATCCTGCTGCTTTCCTCTCTTCTCCCAGCTGCCTCCATCCCCATTCCCCAGCTGGCTTCTGTGCTTTCCCAAGCAGCTTGAATGAGGGACGTAGCTTTTGGTTCATCTCTTCCTTGAACCACAAGGTCCTCATCTTTCTTACAGCACTTCTGAAACCCCTTCTCTTATGATCCCAGAGGTTTCCAGGAGAGACAATGAAAAGAATTAAAGGCACTCTCAGATGACCTTGGGTTTACTATTAAAGCCACCCAGGGACTCCCTCAGTTCATTTTCTGCAGAACTGCAAAATCCCCCAGGCTGGGCTTTCCGAGCTGTTGCTGGGTCACTGCGATATTCTTATTTTGTTGCTTCCTTTTCAGGCAGCCATTCTCAGGCCCTGGCTTCTCTAATCCCAAGCTGAGCTTGGCTTCTGCTTCTCTGGCTTTCCCTTCGTGTGCCTTGCAGTCTCTCCGGGAACCAGGCTCTGATGGGCTCACTTGGTCACAGTCTAATGCAGCGTTCTCATGCCAGACCTCCTGTAATGCTGCTGATTTTTTCCATATGTTTGATTCTGGTAACCAGGCCAATTCCTGGCCAGTCTTTTGTGGCTAGGTCTGGTAGCAGAGCCAAGAGAATCAATGTGTGGTAACTTATGTAGCAAGAACTGCCTCTGACCACTGGGTTCTGGGGCTGTACGTGCCAGGCACATGGACGCCCCTAGAGCGCATACTCCTCTAACACAACTCTGTTTTGCAGGTGATAATTCACACCTCTTCATTCTCTTCCATTTGCCCCCCTTTCCCACTCCATGAAGATACCTAGTTAATGAAACAAGTAGATCATCCAATTTCACCTTCCCGACCCACAACTCAATTTCAAGCGTGAACTTTTCATTTTGGAGGCATCCTTAGGTCTGCATCATCTGGTCTGCTGCAGGAGGCTGGAGCACCTCAGCAGTGAGGTCCGGATCTAAGATGATGGCTCATGTCTTAATAAGGAACTGTTACTTCTGTTCTCCTGTGGGCAACGGTCTAGGGGCCTGCATGCTCCAAAGGTATCAGAAGCAAGCGGGACCAGGACTCTGAGGTTTGTATTCTCTGGTAGCTGACTTTTTTTTTTTTTTTTTAAGATTTTATTTATTTGGCAGAGAGAAAGAGAGCACAAGCAGGGGGAGCGGCAGGCAGAGGGAGAGGGAGAAGCAGGCTCCCTGCTGAGCAGAGAGCCTGATGGGAGGCTCTATCCCAGGACCCTGGGATCATGACCTGAGCCGAAGGCAGATGCTTAATCGACTGAGCCACCCTCCAGGCGCCCATGTCATTTAAAAAAACTTAATTAATTAATTAATTATTATTTTTTAAAGATTTTATTTATTTGATAGAGAGGGAACACAAGCAGGGTGAGTGGCAGAGGGAGAAGCAGGCTTGCTGCAGAGCAGGGAGCCCGATGTGTGGCTGGATCCCAGGACTCCGGGGATCATGACCTGAGCGGAAGGCAGACGCTTAACGACTGAGCCACTCAGGCGCCATGTCATTTTTTTTTTTAAAGATTTTATTAATTTCTTTTAGAGAGAGAGGGAGAAGGAGAGAAAAAGCACCAGTGTTGTGGGGGGATGGAGCAGAAGGGGAGAGAGAGAATCTCAAGCTGACTCCCTGCCAAGCATGGAGCCTGAGGAGGGCTGGATCTCACAACCCCCAGATCACCACCTGAGCTGAAATTAAGAGTCGGACACTCAACCAACTGAGCCACCCAGGTGCCTCTGACTTGGTCATTCTTGTATGGAGATTCTTTCCTTCCTTCTAGAACTCCACCCCTGCTGCCTAAGCTGGTAACCAGCTCACCTTTCCTTACCCCTTTGATCACAAGCATTTTGCAGAGGCTACCCCAGGGAAATGAAAGGAGTTGGGGTGCTACCAGTGGTAGCTGGTTACATTTCACCGCTCTCCTCACACAATTAACATGGCAGTGAAGCCTGAGGTGGATGAGCTGTACCGCTCTAATACCAGATCTGTGCTGTGCTGGGAGGTTTTAGTCATATGCTTGGAAGGTGCCCCAAAGCATTTTTTATTTTTGGGCAGCTCATTGTCCTCAAACGATTGAACAACTCATTATTTGTGTCATTAAAGTCAATTTATCACATATAGCAAAAAAAAAAAAAAATCCATGTAATCATGGTTATTCCTGTATTGTGCTCTATTGATCTAACCATTTTTGTCTATCTCTTTGTCAGTATCATGCTGCTGTGGTTACTGCTGCTTTCTTTACAGGACATTTTGCTACTGCTAAGGCAAGGCCCCTATTAGTGCCTCTTATTCTTTTTTTCCCTCAAAATGTTTGGCTGTGCTCATGTGAGTCTTCCAGAGGAATTTCAGAATCAACCTGTTAAGTTCCAAAATCTCCCCATCGGGATTTTGATGGAAATTGCATTAAACTGACATCATTATAATATCAAATCTCATCAGGAACATTTTGACTTTTCATTTATTTAGGTCATTGTTAATGTCCTTAAAGTTCTCTGGTTTTCTTCATATATTTTTCAAAATGTTCCAGGTATATACTCGCTCTCTCTCTCTTTCTTTTCCTGTTTCAGCGAATGGGATCCTTTTTTTTTTCCATTTCAGATTTTAATTTTTTAAAAAGATTTTTTTCTTAGTCAATGTTCTTATGGTAGCAATTTACAGAGATACACTCTTAGGCAAAAAAAAAAAAAAAAAAAGTTGGGTGGGAATTCTTTGGAAGGTGGCCAAGGCCTCCTCTGCAGCCTGAAGGCAGAGGAGCAGTAGGCCTCACAAGGGGGCCTGGAAACAACTGATTAGTTTCTTTGTGCTGCTTCTCTGAGTAGACGTTTTCCTCTCCCTCTGTATCTTTCTTTGTTGCTTTCTTTGTCCCACTTGCACATTTCTGGGGAAGCAAAGTGATGTAGAGCAAATCTGGCTACAGGGTCTATCCATATGAATGGAGCAATTCTCAGAATCTACGGGCTGGGTAGACACTCCTGAAACAGATTTGAAAGCTCTGTAATGCCAGGAATTTCAAAACAATCTGTCTCTTCTTGCCTAAGAGGGTTAGAGTTGGCAGAAATGGTATGGGAGAACCCTCCCTTCCTAGTTCCAGGTGATTGATAAACAAGGACCATCAATCACTGCTCTGGGATTAATAATTCAACAAAAATATATTGAGCCCCTACTGCTTTGCTGTTCACGATGGGCTTCTACTTACTTCATTTTGGCTCAGATCACAGAGTATCCCATAAACGCTAAATTGTGTGGTTTAGGGACATAAATTGCCATTTCAAATATTTTGACTGTAGAAAGTAAGATCCTTCAAATTTTGCAACTTGAGATAAAGATAACTATATTCTCACCCTCAACTGGCATAGGACTCATTTTGAGTTCCCTCTGTAGAAAAGGCACTTATTTAAAAAACCAAACTCTCCTTTAAAACCAAATTCTGTTAAAAGACATTTTTTTTTCAGGGTACCAGACTTTATTTCAGGGGAGCAGTGGGAGGGAGAACCTAGACAGAGGGCAGCAGGCGGTGTGGTAGGGGGTTGACGCTTGGACAGGGACTGGCTTGGGGAAGGGCTGCCCCTAGTCCTGTTGCAAGGAGAAACTATATTTTTCTTTACGTAATCTAGTTCAGTAGTTGGCCTCCTTTTTTGACTGGGAGCCAGGTGAAAGCTACAACGGGAACTTGGAACCAGGAAACTTTGGCAGTCTTGACGAAGTTAGTTACTAATTGAACGACCTTCGCAGGGAACCTCGCCTCTGTGAACATGCTTTCTCATTTTCAAACCCGGCATAACAATTTTTGGATTCATGGGTTATGAAAGGAAACACAAAAAGCAAAAGACTGGATACACGTGAGGCATTACCAATCGCAACGTGAGTCTGACACTAGTGAAGGAAAAAAGAACAATGAGTTTGGAGGGACATTAAGGAAAAAGTGTCAAGGTAACTCCAGAGGTGGCATCTTGGCAAGCCCCAGCTCCGTCAGCAGATACCAAAAAACTTCATGTAGCGAACACGCTTTCCTTTAATTGGAAAACGAGTGTTCGCTTTGGCCGAGTCCCTTCCTCACTGAGAGAAAATCCCATTGCTCCAAACAGCGCTTCCCCTCCCAGTCTGTAAACAACGAGTCAGGTTTTCCTCACAGGCCTGGAGGGGCCCTGGCGAGCCGAGCGGGAGACCCACGCTGAGCGGGGCCCACAAGCCGGGCAGGGGTGGGGGCAGGGACGGCGGGGCCCAATTTCGGGCCCCAGCAGGACCGACTGCCGAGGGACCGCCCTGTCCGCACCAAGCCGTCCCCGCCCCCGTCGGACACGTAAGCACGACTTAGGTCGTGACTTCCGGCAGCGCAGCCGTGCTTTCCGGTTGTCCCTCCTACCCGCCTTCCTTCCGGGGCGGGACTTCCTGGCCATTATTGATAGGTGCCGGACTGCAGAGCTGGTGGGAGGAGCACACAGGAGGTCAGTCTGGGAGGCCAGGCCTTACGCTCCTCGAAAGGGTACCCGGGAGGATGCTCTTCCTCGCTCTCTTTCTCACTTTTTTCTCCCCGCGAGTCCTCGTTTGCGCGGACGTCCTGGGCTTTTGGTACCACCCCCCCACCTGAGGCTCTTCCGCTTCCTCTTTTCCCAGGCTCCGCCCCCAGCGTCCCGTGGCCATGACGACCGCCCAGCGGGACTCCTTGGTGTGGAAGCTCGCGGGGCTGCTGCGTGAGTCGGGTGAGTGGATATACGGTTGACCTGGGGCTGGGGCAAGGTGGGGGTGCAACTTGCCTTCCAGAGACACTCCCCTCCTTAGGAAACATAGAGTTACAGCTGTTTAAGTTTACGAGGGTTCGAGCGTCAATTCATTGTTTTTTTACTCCTCTGAAGTTTATTCTCTCTGGTGCTGTTGCTTGCAGGCTCCATTTGACATTTCACACCTTAGCCATCCTTCGAGACCCAACTCCAGTGCCACTTCCTCAATGCATTCTCTGAAACTCTCAGAGGAAAGTGATCTTTACTTGGCTGTAAATCTCTGGAGACCCGGGACTGCCACAATCATTGCTCTGTGCCAAGGCACTTAGTATAGTTAAAAGCACGAGATTTGGAGTCAGATGCACTTGGGTTGGAATCCCAACTCTTCCAAACATGGCGAAGTTGTTTAAGTTTTCTGAGCTTCAGTTTTCCACAGTAGGAAAATGGCATAGCGATTGTACTTAAGTCAAAAGTTTGTTGTGGGGATTAATTTTAACCCATGTAAAGCATTTAGGACAATGTTTGCATAATACGTAAGGGCTCAAAATTGGTAGCTATTGTTACTACAGTTTCTTCTCTCCGTTCCTGGGCACAGTGGAGCCACAGTGGTTCAATGTGTGGTTGACATTAGTTGTGGTAGAACAAGCCCTGATTTCAGATCAGACAGAAGTAGCAACTTCCTACCATCTATATAAGCTCAATCAGTGTTCTTCTCCAAGCCCTAGTGTCCATCTCTTTAAGGAGTGGTCAGTAGTGCTTCTCTTTAGGAGATTCTGATGAAGTTTAAATGAGGTAACAAAGTTGTCTGCCACATACCACCCGATTAATATTAGCCTCCTGCCCACACTCTGTACTCCTTACTCCCATTGGTGGTGTCTGTGGAATCTCTTTTTAGAGCAGTTTTACTTTCTTTTTTTTTTTTTTAAGATTTTATTTATTTGACACAGAGTGACAGCGAGAGAGGGAACACAAACAGGGGGAGTGGGAGAAGGAGAAGCAGGCTTCCCGCGGAGCAGGGAGCCCGCTACGGGGCTCGATCCCAGGACCTTGGGATCATGACCTGAACCGAAGGCAGATGCTTAACGACTGAGCCACCCAGGCACCCAAGAGCAGTTTTACTTTCTGGCTTGTTTTATTAACTGTGTACGTATTTTATCTTTTCTACACTAAGAGGCTCTTTGAGGGTGGGGAGAGTCTTTGAACCCTGGCCGCATCTATTCTTAGTGTCTAGCACATGGAACATCTTTCATGTAAGGTAGTAGGATTTAACAGTTTGTTCAGCACAAATCTGACCTCGTGCTCCAGGGGTTAGGGATGATGGTGTGTGTGTGTGTGTGTGAGTGACTATAAGAGGTACCAAGAGATTTTTATGGTAATGGAATAGTTTTGTATCTTGATTGTGATGTTGGTTATAGGAATCCACACCAATGACAAAAAAAGTGGCATAGAACATTAGGTACATACCAATATCAGTTTCCTGACTTTGATACTTACATAAAATGTAAACATTGGGGGAAACTGGGTGAAGAATATAGGGTATCTCTCTGTAATATTTTTGTAACATGTTTTGGCTCTATCGTTGTCTTAAAAAAATAGTAAAAAAATATTTCTCTATACTTACTTCATACCTATACTTTTTAGGTGCAGTGATGGGTACCAGGGTGATCAAAAATGTCCTCAAGGATGACAGTCTCATTAGAGAGAGCAGTTTTAACATGGAGATGGAGAATAATACCTCAGCGCTATAATGAGTGGTTATTCTTTCTATGACGTGCATTTTGGGATGGTTTGAAAATTTCTATAAGTGTGCATATTACTTTTGCAATCAGAGAAGTAAAGGTAAAATATGTGGGGTATCTGGCTGGTTCAGCGGTGGAGCACACGACTCTTGATCTTGGGGTTGTAGGTTTGAGTCCCATGTTGGGCATAGAGTTTACTTAAAATTAAAAGAAAAGTGAAACACCCAACCAACTTTTACATAAAGTGAGTGATTATAGCATAAAAGGGCAGCAGTGTTACACATTGAGAAGCCTGCCTGGAGGAGGATAGTCTCGAGCTGGGCAGAGTGGAAGGGAATGTGTCAGAAAATGAGGAATCTGTGAACCAAGCTGACTGTATTCCCAGCACCGTGAATGGACCAGACTCTCTTGAACAGATGGTGAAAGAAAATTTGGAAAATTTGGTTGGCTGTAGTGAACACAAGCTCCTGTCATCAGGCTGAAGAGTTAGGACTTTTTGTGAAGATAGAGGGGAGTTGTGGAAGACTTTTGAGCAGGGAGGAGACAGTATGACCCCAGCAGTGGGAGATCTACCATATGGATTGGAGTGGGTGTATCCTGGGGTCACAGAGTCTCAGAATAAAGGGACAGACCCCTTTGTTATGTTCTCCTTCCTGTCTGCCCCTTTCCCTGCAGGTGACGTGGTCCTGTCTGGCTGTAGCACGCTGAGCCTGTTGACCACCACCCTGCAGCAGCTGAACCACGTATTTGAGCTGCACCTGGGACCATGGGGCCCTGGCCAGACAGGCTTTGTGGCTTTGCCCTCTCACCCTGCCGACTCCCCTGTCATCCTCCAGCTTCAGTTCCTCTTCGATGTGCTGCAGAAAACTCTTTCACTCAAGGTCGCTGCAGTGGGAATGGAGTAGGATGTACGAAGAGCCCAAGAGCTGGGGGGGTGGGGGCATGGGTGCAAGAAGTCTGCAGGGCCCAGATGGAGATGGTGTGAGAGCTGTGGTGATTGTGTGATTGGGGAGAGGCCAAGGAAAGGGAGGTGTGCTGGCCTCGGTGACATGAGGTTTTTTTCTTTTAGCTGGTCCACATCCCTGGTTCTGGCCTCCCTGGGCCCATCAAGATTTTTCCCTTCAAGTCCCTTCGGCAGCTGGAGGTATGGAGTGTTGGGGGATGCCGGCACACAAAGCCCAGTTTGAGGCAACCTTTTGGGACTGGGGAAAGAGATGGCCCCCCTTTGGTGGGCAGGCCAGGCCTGAGTGTGTCCACTGCTCTGCAGTAACGTGGCATTCATCTCTTACGTTTAACGCTTCCCTGAACCATAGTTGGATTGTCATCTTTTCCCTCCCCGTAAAAGAAGGAAGTGAGGTGAAGCCTCTGTCTTTTGTGAAATTCTGTCTCCCTCCCTCCCTCCCTTTCTCCGTCCCTCCCTCTAAGCTCCGAGGTGTCCCTCTTCATTGCCTCCGTGGCCTCTGTGGCATCTACTCCCAGCTAGAGACCCTGATTTGCAGCAGGAGCATTCAGGCATTAGAGGTAAGGAGGATGGGGGCTGGGCCCAGATCCCTGTTCTGAGGGACATACAGGACCAAGCTCTGCCGTTCCCTCTTCTTTGCAGCCTTCCCTGCTTCCCCTTTCCCTTCAAACAGTGTCCTTGCCCTTGCTGCTGTGCTCCCGTAGTGCTGTGTACCTGTCTGTACGTTTATGGTCACAGCTGCCATCTTGTATTCGGTATTCTCGTATCTGTCTCCGCATTCTCCCCACAACGGACTCCTAGGGGCAGGGCCCTGGGCTTGCTTTCAGTCTGTCTCTGCAGACCAAGATTAGTATATAGAGAACAAATGAATGGCTGGGGGACAGTGGCTTGGAGCGGGGAGGAGGGGACAGCGGAGGTAATGGAGCACCCTATCTCAGGAGCTCCTCTCAGCCTGTGGTGGTGACCTCTGCTCTGCCCTGCCCTGGCTGGCTCTGCTCTCTGCCAACTTCAGCTACAATGCACTGACTTCCTTAGACAGCTCCCTGGTGAGTGCCTCAGAGGGAAGGGGGTTTGGGGAAAGACAGGGGGGCCCTTAGGGAGGAGGGCCAGCTGGCTGCCTGGAGGTGTCTGATTCTCTGCTGCTTTTCCCATTCCCCCGCCCCCCCCAGTGTCTCTTGTCAGCTCTGCGCTTCCTGAATCTGAGCCACAATCGAGTCCAGGACTGCGAGGGCTTCCTGATGGTGAGTGTGAGCAGGCTGGTTGGGGCTGGCACCACTTGGGTCTGTGGTCATTCCGCTCTGACCCTCTCTCCTGGACCTGTCCCCCACCCTCCCCCAGGTAGGGCTACATCCTGGAGGCAGTACTCTTTGGGAACTCAGGCTGTAGCATAAGAGAAGCCTGTGTTCAAATCTCAACTCCTAAATTGTTGTGTGACTTGGGACAAACTAAGCTCTGAGTTTCTTAACTGGTCAAGCAGAAATCCTAGGAGTACCGGCTTTTATGGTATTAGAGTGGTCGTGGAGGTTGTGTGATGTTACTTAGCCTAGCATCTAGCTCAGAAAAGGTAGCTTGGGGACGATGGTGAAGAATCTTCTCCAAGTCTTATTGTCAGGGACAAAGTTGGATAGTAGTTACTGTCGTGAGAACAGATTTTAGTAATACGCTATTGCAGTAGTAATAAGCTATTGTGGTATGTAATCAGTAGTAGAACCATTTTAATTTATAATAAACTTTAGCATAAACTAAACTCAAATTCGATTTGTGCAGAGATCACTGGATGTTTTATTTATTTATTTGTTTTTAAAGATTTTATTTATTTATTTGAGAGAGAATGAGAGAGAGAGCACATGAGAGGGGGGAGGGTCAGAAGGAGAAGCAGACTCCCCGCTGAGCAGGGAGCCCGATGTGGGACTCGATCCCGGGACTCCAGGATCATGACCCGAGCCAAAGGCAGTCGCTTAAACCAACTGAGCCACCCAGGCGCCCAAGATTACTGGATGTTTTAAAGGCATAGTGAGGGAGTGGGCGGGAGAAGGCAGGGACTTGAGCAGATTCTTTCCTTGACCAAACTAGTCAGTTTTAAATCTCTGAAGTCAAGGAAGTGGAAATTTACAAAAAGCAGGAAGGGGGTGTTGGTCCATATGAAATCCGCCTGGGTCTTGGATTGATAACTGGGGCTTGCTGGAGTTGGCCTCCTACCTTCCTACAGAGGCTGGGAGATAGGGGTTCTGTCTTCAGCTGTTGGCTGGAACAAACTAAATTCTCCTGGCAGCCTTGGGTTTTTCTAGGAGGGAAGGTACAGGGGCTGGAGTTGTCTTCCCAAGGACATGGCCTTGAGCTATTAGGAACTATGCTAGGATTTGTTTAATTTTGTTAACGTTTGGTGGGGGGCGGGTGGAGGATGGGATGAACTCATTTGTGCGGAGAGCATGCAGTCTTTACAGGCTAAAGTTGAGGCCTATTTGAAAAGAAGGCTCAGAGGAGCCCGGCTAGAGTCTGGTCAAGGAGAAAATCTTTGTCACCACCCCCTTTCAGGACTTGTCTGAGCTCCGCCATCTGGACATCTCCTATAACCACCTGCGTTTGGTGCCGAGAATGGGACCCTCGAGCGCTGCTCTGGGGACCCTGATACTGCGAGGCAATGAGCTCCGGAGCCTGCAGGGTGAGTGGGGAGTGTGGGGGGCCAGGGAGTAGGAGAGGGTGGGGCGAACATGGAGGGTAGAGGGCCAGTGTGAGACTCAGCCTGGGACCCGCATGCCTCCAGAGCCTTAGGTGGGCCTACCGGTAGGTCTGAGGTGCCCAGGCTGGTCTTTCTGCTCTTACCAGCCTCCCCCCGCCATATGCCCTTCCTCCCTGCTCGCCTCCACCCCAGGCCTGGAGCAGCTGAGGAACCTGCGGCACCTGGATGTGGCGTACAACCTGCTGGAAGGCCACAGGGAGCTGGCGCCGCTGTGGCTGCTGGCTGAGCTCCGCCAGGTGTGTCCTAAGCGCTTCCAGGACCTGGGGGCCAGCTCTGCGCCTCTCCCTCCCCCCGCAGGCTGATTTGGTGAGTGCCCTTCCTCACACAGGGAGGCCCGAGGCCCATCTCAGTCTCTTCTTCCTGCCCTTCAGCTCTACCTGGAGGGGAACCCTCTGTGGTTCCACCCCGCGCACCGAGCGGCCACTTTCCAGTACTTGTCACCCCGCGCCAGGGATGCTGCAGCTGGTGTGAGTGATCTTCTCCTGTCCGCTCTGCTTTCCCTGTCCTTCCTGTCCCACCCCTGCCCCGTCATCTGCCCTCCAACCCAGCCCTGGGTGAGGGGCCGCAGCCCTGGCCCCCCCTCTTGTTAGGCTGCTCCCCAACCCCGAGCCTGCTGGTCCCTGCAGGGCTAGGAGGGCTCCCCTGGGTGGGTGGGCAGGTACCCCGCCACCGACATAGCCCCTCCCCTTTTATCTCTGCTCAGTTCCTTCTTGATGGGAAAGTCTTGTCACTGACTGACTTTCAGGTTAGTATGTGGGGAGCACTGGGGGTAGGCCATCCAGGATTGATTTGGGGAAGGACATGACAGGGGTCCCAGGGTGGGGGTCTTTCTGGACAGCTACAAAGTAGGGCCCATCCCTTGGCTAGCCCGGTAGGGCGGAGGTGCATCTCTGGCTCCAGCCTCACTCTCCTTCCCGTTGTCACACGCCAGACCTCCACATCCTCAGGGCTTGGCTCCTCGGCCCCACCTCTGCCCTGGTCAGCAGGGAGTACTGTTGAAACCTCAGGCGGCCCTGACTTGAGTGACAGCATCTCCTCAGGGGGCATTGTAGCCCAGCATCTGCACCGGAAGGTTAAGGTAAACAGTGTCCTAGGCCACCTTTGCTTGGGGTTGGGTCCCTTTCTGGGGGCTCTGGGTTGTGGATGGGCTGGGAAGAGAAGGGCCTCATCCTTGCTTGTGGGTGGCGTTTTCTGGGTTATGTTGGGTGTGTGGCCACGGACGGCAGGGTGGGAGGCCCCGGCTCTTCTAGAGCATCGGTCCTGTGTCCACCTTCAGAGCCGAGTCCGTGTGAGGCGAGCAAGTATCTCGGAACCCAGCGATACAGACCCAGAGCCCCGGACTCTGGACCCGTCCCCAGCTGGTAAGTCCTCTGCGGCCCCAGCTGCCCCTGCCCTAAGTCCTGTCTTCAGGCTCCGGCCCCAGTCTTCTCAGTAGGAGGAATTCTGTCTGAGGTGGAGCAGAGCGTTGTAGAGGGCCTCTTAGGCTTTCCTCCTTTCTAGTTTGAGAAAGGAGACCACCCCTGGGCAGCGTTTTCCAGAGTGTTTTTTAAGGAACGTGAATTGTGTGGGATGTAGAGAGGTCACTTGCTGAAAGGATCCCGTGGGAAAAGCCGGGCTAACCAGAGTTAAGTAGGCGTCCTCTCCCCAGGGCACCTCAGGACCGCCAGTTCACTCCCACGTATCTGTAATCTCCCCAGCAGCGTGTGCTGCCTGGTTCTGCCTGGTTCCGACTTGTGTGTGGACACAGCATTCCATAGAACGTGCTTTGGGACGTGCTGCTGAGGGGAAGCCTTGAGTCTCCCTCTGATCCCCACCCTCCATCACATCACACACCTTTAGACTTCACCCCAGGGAGCAGTTGCAGAAGAGGCTGGGGTCGTTGGGGGTCGTGGTGAGGGCGCGGGCTTGCTAAACCGTGCACCCCTCACCGGCCCAGGGAGGTTTGTGCGGCAGCATCGGGAACTTGAACTCATGAACAGCTTCCGGGAACGGTTTGGCTGTGACTGGCTGCAGTATAGGAATCACCTGGAGACCTCCGGGACCCCCGTTCTGGCTACCTCTGAGACCCCTGCCCTCAGCACACTGCCCCTGAGCCCAGGGTCTGTGCCCGGCCCTCCACCCCCAGAGAAGGAGTCACCGCAGGAAATGGCAGAGGAGGTCAGGCTCCTGCCGGAGCCCCGGGAGGAAGAGGAGGTGGAGGAGCAGGATGAAGTGGAAGGTGAGCACCGAGCGCTCATTCAGTGGCTGCCAGGGAGACCGGACCAAGTGCTGGCGGTGTATCCGGGCGAGTTGGGAAAACCCAGACTTGGGGCGGCTGACCCCTTCTGGATGGAGGGCCATCCCATGGCGGGGCGGAGTCGGGGATATCTCTCACTTCTTAACAGGCTTGCTCTCCTGGTCTTTCCTCAGCGGAACTGTGTCGCCCCATGTTGGTGTGTCCCCTGGAGGGGCCCGAGGGCGTGCGGGGCAGGGAATGCTTTCTCCGGGTCACTTCCAGCCACCTGTTCGAGGTGGAACTCCAAGCAGCTCGGACCCTGGCACGGCTGGAGCTCCAGAGCCTGGAGGCAGCTGAGGTGGAACCTGAGCCTCAGACCGAGCACGAGGCAGTGCTCAAGGTGAGTGGCGGCATTAGGGGTCCTGGAAGAGGTGCTGGGCCTTTTGCCGGAGCCACTTGGGACAGCACAGCTGTTGGGTACCAGGCGCTGGGTCGCGGGTTTCCCCCAGTCTCTTGTTGGTACTTGGAGCAGAGCAGGGGAGTTATGGGGGGCGAAGGCACGGCTCCAGACAGCTTGGAAGGCTGAGCTGAGGAGTAGGGCTGCTGAACTAGAGTGTGGATGTCAGCAAGAGCATTTTCATGACATCCAGAGCTACGATTTTCTTCTGTACTGTCAGCATCACCCAGATCTCTTGGACCCCCTCTGTGCGCAGGGTGCAGACCTGCTCCCTGGGGCCCCAGTCCTTGTTCTGCACTTCTCCTACATTTGCCCTGACCGGCAGCTGCGTCGCTATGTGGTGCTGGAGCCCGATGCCCACGCAGCTCTGCAGGTAACGGGGCCTAGAGCGAGGCCAGGGCACCGGGGGGAGGCCTGAAAGGCTGAGGGCCAGGGTCCACTGCTCACAGCTGTGTCTGTCCCACCCTGTTTCAGGAGCTGCTTGCTGTGTTGACCCCAGCAGCCACCACGGCTCAGCATGAGCTTGGGGAAGCGAGAGACCCGCTGCGGGGCAGGCTCCAGTGTCTACGTTGTGGCCATGAGTTCAGGCCAGAGGAGCCCAGGTTGGGATTAGACGGTGAGGAAGGCTGGAGGCCTCTGTTCCAAAAGACAGGTATGCGCCTTGCCCTTGACCTTCTGTTCATGGGACTCCCACCGTTTCAGAGACAATGGCTTTGAGAGAGGGAATACAGAGGGGGCACCCCAGGGAAGGAAGGAGTGGGGACCAACTCTTCTGTCTGGAGGAAAAATAAAACTCTCTCTCTGATAGATTTGCTAAAAAGAAAAAAATGATAGGAGCAAAAGAAATTAGATCCTTTTTTTTTCTCTCTAAAAGTCAGGAAATACAATCTCCTTAACCGTTGAAACATACTTATTTTTTCATAACTGGTAGGCTTTTTCCACTTTTTTGGCTGATAATTTAGAAACTCCATAAAAGTTCCTTAGCCCTCACTGCAGTTTCGGGTGTAGCGCTGTCCTCTGAGCATGTTTGGCTGTTGAGTAAGATGCTTTGCGAGTTGGCTGAGGTTGTACTGCCTTGACTGGCCTTCCAAGCTACTTGAGATCAAGTGGTGCCTCATGGCATCTCTTCACATTCTGTTCTTTAAATTGAGAGATTTTTTCCACTGTGGATCAAAAAGCAATTATCTTTAAAGATCCTAAAGAGAAAAGAAATATTCTCGATACCATTTGTGCTGAAATGTATGACTTTTTAAAAAATTTATTTATTTATCTATTTATCAATCTATCTGACAGAGAGCGAGCACAAGCAGGGGGAGTGGCAGGCAGAGGGAGAGGGAGAAGCAGGCTCCCCGCTGAGCAAGGAGCCCAACAGGGCGGCTGATCCCAGGGTCCTGGGATCATGATCTGAGCCAAAGGCAGACACTTAACTGACTGAGCCACCCAGGTGCCCCGATTTTTTTTTTTTTTAAGATTTTAGGTATTTGGGGGTGTGGGGCTCCATGAGGAGGGGAAGGAACAGAGGGAGAGGGACAGGCAGACTCCCCGCCGAGCTTGGAGCCCAACAAGGGGCTTGATCCCAGGATCCCGAGATCATGACCTGAGCCAAAGTCAGACGCTTAATGGACTGAGCCGCCCAGGTGCCCCAGTATTTTTTTTAAGATTTTATTTATTTTGAGAGAGTGCAAGAGTGTGTGCATATGAGTAGGAGTGGGGCAGAGTGGGAAGGAGAGGGAAAGAATCTCAAGCGGACTCTGCGCTGGCTGTGAAGTCTGACTTGGGGCTGATCCCATGACCCTGAGATCATGACCCAGGCGGAGCAGAAAGCAAGAGCTCGGTGCTCAACCGACTGAGCTACCCAGGCGCCCCCCGGGTGTGTCATTTTTTGGATCCTTGCTTTCCTCATTTGCAAATTGGGATCCAGAGAGTTTTAATCCTATCGTCAGAGGGCCCGGCATATGCCCATTGTAGCTGCTCAAGAGTGTTTCCTCTCTCGCTGCCAATCCCCAACCTGGATTCTTTCTTCACCTGATCCGTTCACCCATCCTGACGACCCTATAGGACAGGCACTGTCATCACTCCTGTTACAGAGGAGGAACCAGGCTCAGAGAGCTTAGGTGACTTGTCATAATTGCTTAGATGACAGCTGTTAAGTGACGGAGCCTGGGATTGGATCCATACCTGGCACCCTGCCTTCCTGATCTGTTGATTTGGGGCCTTCCCATGTGGCTGGTGGAGCTTCAGAGCACATGACAGCCCGAGGCTATGGTAGGGGACCAGAGCAGTTTGGTTCTCTCTGAGAAGGCCTGAAGTAAGAAGGTGGAGTATATTTTGAGGAGGTCGTGGGCCATGGGTCTGGTTTGCTCCTCCCTCACTGGGATGGAGAGCGGTTGGCTAACTGGCCTGCCCAGGAAGTGGGGGGAGGGGAGTGTTGGGAATGGTGGGGAGCATAGGAAGCTGGAGATGTTGGCCAAGGTGAATCTGAGAGGGGGTGGGGAGCATGATGAGCGCAGTGGGGGGATTGCGGCGCTGTGCGTTGGGGTTCACAGGGACTGTGCTTACCCTTCCAGAATCTCCTGCTGTGTGTCCAAACTGTGGTAGTGATCATGTGGTTCTCCTGGCTCGGTCCCTGGGAACCAGCCACAGGGAGCACAGACAGGACGAACAGCCGCCAGTTCCCTCGCAGACGGCCAGCGCTGTCCGTGACCCTCCTGACCCCAGTGACCATAGCAGCAGGGCTGACGGGGCCCCATCTCAGGCGCCGGTCTCCCAGGATCGCCACAGTTGGAGCCTCAGTCCCCGTGAGTAGGGGTGAAACGGGACCGAGGTGGTGTTTGGGGAGGTGGGAGAGCGCGGTGGTCGCCTGGGCAGGCTGATGGCCCACGGCTCGCCCCCAGCCCCTGAGCGCCACGGCCTCCGCTCTGTGGACCACCGACTCCGGCTCTTCCTGGATGTTGAGGTGTTCGCCGACGCCCAGGAGGAGTTCCAGTGCTGCCTCAAGGTCTGTGCCAGCCTGGTGCTGCCCCGCGCCCCTCCCTGGCCAGAGTGCCCGCTGTGTCCCCCACAGCAAACCGTGTCAGCGCAGGGGCTCTGGAAGCCCCAGGTCAGGCACCTGGTTTCAGCTCCCACCATCACTCACAGTGTGGCTACGGACACAGTCCTTGATGGCAAAGCCTGTCGTTGCCTCTCCGCGGCGGGGGGATAGTGATGCCTACCTCATGGGGTGTGTCAGTGAGCGCCCATGTCGGACAGCTGCCCAGCCCAGCACCTGGCACTCACAGGGGGCCTCCTGTCACCACTCTTAAGTCCACAGTGTTTTCGGTCCCTCTGCGAGCACCTAGCGTCTGCAAGACACTGAGATTTAGAGTAAATCCGTCTTGCCATCTGTCTTGTATTCTGGTGTGAGAAACCCGAGGATTGTGAGATAGGAAAGTGCTGGAATTAGGCTGAGGCATCGGATCCAGCCTGAGTGACGGAGACTCCCCTTCTTGGGGAGCCAATCTAAGATCTAATCCAGGGCTTGAAGGATGAGTTCTAGAGAAGGTGGGGGATGATCTGGGGAAAGGAAGCAGCACCTGTGTTGGGGGCCTGAGAGAGGGGCTAGCTAGTGGGGAGAAACTGTTGCTGTCGGGGCAGCAGGGGGTGGGCTGGGGAGGGGGTAGGGGCCCTGGGAAGAGTCTGAAGAGGCAGGCAGGGGCCAGTTCAGGGGCAGCCTCAAGTGTCTGCCAGGGAGTTTGGACTTGATCCCAAGGGCCGCGGGAGTCCCGGAGGCAGGGGAGTGGCAGTTGGTTTTGTTTTACGGTAGTCCGGCAGAGTGTAGAGGGTGGGTCGGAGGGGGCACAATCCCAGGCAGGGAAACCCGCCAAGCCCGCCTGTGGGTCAGCGTGCAGGGGGGTGGCGGGCGAGGCCGGGCGCATGAGCAGTGGGGAGGTTTGGGCCATGGTGACTCTGCTCTCGGCCCAGCAGCCGCCTCCCTTGTCCCCTCTTTCTTTCCTCTTCCCCTTAGGTGCCACTGGTGTTGGCAGGCCACCCTGGGGAGTCTGTGTGTCTCGTGGTGGTGTCTGACCGTAGGCTTTATGTGTTGAAGGTGACAGGGGAGATATGGTGAGCGAGTGGGGCCGTCAGGGACAGGGCAGGGCTCCCTGTGGGTCTCACGCCGCTCACTCTTTGCCACCACTCTGGCCGTCCCTCTCCACAGTGGGCCTCCAGCTGGCTGGCTACAGCCAACCCTGGCCGTTCCCCTGCACGACCTGAGCGGCATCGAGCTGGGGCTGGCAGAACAGAGCCTGCGGCTGGAGTGGGCGTCTGGGGCAGGCAGCTGTGTCCTGCTGCCCCGAGATGCCAAGCATTGCCGGGCCTTTCTAGATGAGCTCACCGGTGAGAGAGGGAAGAGAGAGGGAAGGGAGGTGTCGGGGGGGCAGCGGGGGGCCGAGGGGTCACAGCTGCCCGTGTCTAGCAGCCACGGTGGAGACAGACAGGTAATGGGACTCATCCCCTTTAGAGGTTTCTGAAATCTAGAAGTCAGGAAGGTCTCGAGAGGTGGAGAGGTTGGGATAGAAGAGATGGAGTCTCTGAGGTTCCCTGTCCTTGGCTGGCTCTGTCCAGATGTCTTACAGGCTCTGCCCCCCAGCTGGAGGAGCAGTGTCAGTGCCACAGAGGAGGAGGTGACCCCGAAGCACCGCCTCTGGTGAGTGAATAGGAGGTCGAGGCTGCGGTTGGTGGCCAGACAGCCGCTCCCGGAGCCCGGGCCATCTCTGCAAGCCCCAGCCACGGTTGGGCCCTGAGCACCTGGGCCGGCCTGTCCTCATGCCCACACCTCTTGCCCTGGTTCCTCCTCCCTGCCTCTCTCAGTATTTCCTACCCCCTGGCTGACCACTCGTTTCCCCCAGGCCATTGCTGGAGAGAGACTCTTCCTCGGAGCCGCCTCTGTTCTTCTACCTTCGGGTGTTCCTGGTGGAAGGTGAGGCTTCTGTCCTCTGTCTTGCCCCAGGCCCCTGGCTAGGTACCCCCATTGCCTCTCTGTGCCCTTGTAGCATTTTCAGTTTCTGGAATCTGGACTTCTCTCAGGCACACCCCAGTGACAGTCTCGGTCTTCTGGCCTCTCTTAGTGGGGCCAGCAGGTTTCCTGGGTCCTCAGAGACCTTTGCTTTGGGATACAGGCTTTCTGTGAGGGGGAGCAGATGGGCTGGGTCTGTTCCACCTAATCGGTCAGAGGAGGCAAGCGGATCTTTCTCATGGGCTGGGTGGGGGGCAGGTTCCCTTTGTCTTGGGCCTCAGAGGTTTTGGAGGCTAGAGATGCCTGGAGTTTGGAAAAGGCAGAGGCCTGGCCTCCAGGGGCACAGGCTGCTCTGTGACCACCTTGGCAGGGTGTGTTTCACCCCTCTCGAGTGACACCGGGAGGCTGCCCCGGGGATCTGGGCTCCTCTGTGGCTTTCCACTCTGGGCCTTGCCCTGTCTCTTTCCCTCCAGGCCCTGCAACCTGCCCTGTGTCTCTGTTGGTGACTCTGTCCACCCTGTACCTGTTAGAGGAAGACCCTGCAGGCTCCCAGGCAGAGCCCGCTCTTCCCGCAGCATCTGGTGAAGCCTCTGAGATGCCCCTGCCCTTGGGCCTGGGCCCTTCTGTGCGCGTCAGGGAGCAGTGGCCTCTCAGCAGCTTGAGCTCGGTGCTGCTGTATCGCACGGCCCCAGGGGACCTGCGGCTGGTCTTCTACGATGAGGTGTGTGTGAGAGACAGAGAGAGAGAGAGACGTGGGGGGGCAGTGTGGAATTGCGATGGGCAGTTGTGGTGGAAGGAACACAGAAGTGGGGCGTGAGGAACTGGGGGGCTCGCTGGGTTTGGAGGAGCAGCAGGGAGAGAGGGTGGCAGTTGGGGCAGTGGAAGCCCACGGACCTGGGGCCCAGCTTGTGTTAGCTGGGAGGCCTTCAGTGACCCACCGGCAGCTGCTTGGCGTTTGCATTTGAATGGGCGCCCCCCGTTCCAGCCCGCTGCTCTTCCCAGCCTCCTTAGGCCTATTACAGGTGGAGAAACCGAGGCTTCGGGGCATTAGCCAGTTTGCCTGGGTCACAAGGGGTCAATCCAGGAATCGAACTCCAACCAGTTCCTTGGAGTTGATTCCAGAACTACGTTCTAGAAAACAGGGTGGATTAAAGAAACAAGATAGTAAATGTGGAAGCCTTCTGTGGGGGGGCGGTGCTTTCAGTAAGTGTTGTGCTTCAGAAGCTCAAAGTCTGGGTCTTCTGTGGAGGGACACAGGCTTGGGGAAGGAAGCAGGCCTTGGGGCAAGGAGGGGTGGCGGGTCCTCCGCGAGTCTCCCCTCACTGCCACTTGCTCTGCCAGGTGTCCCGGCTGGAGAGTTTCTGGGCCCTTCGTGTTGTGTGTCCAGAGCAGCTGACGGCCCTGCTGGCCTGGATCCGGGAGCCCTGGGAGGAGTTGTTTTCCATCGGACTCCGGACTGTGACCCAAGAGACCCTGGAGCTCGATCGGTGAGGCCTCCCTGCTAAGCCCGCTCTGGCCTCGGCAGCCATGGCTGTGGAAGCTCTCTCTCTGGACTCTGGCTGCGGACTTCTCTGGGAGGCCCCAGACGACCCACGGCTCAAGGGCAGGCTGAGAGACGTCGCCTGGCCTGGTCTGGCCCAAGGGGACAGGCTCCATGGTCGGTAGGAATGTTTCTCCTGCACTTTTTCTCAGGTATCAATAAAAGTGTTTCCCTTTTGGATGCCATGGGGAGAGTTTCCGTGTGTCACTCAGGCCGCCTGCTATTGCTTCACCTCTTCTAACAGAAACCGCCCGGCCCATAGCTTTCCCTCAGTGGACAGCCCAGCCTTGTCGGTCCTGTGAGCCCCCATTTCCAGACCCCCTCTGCTCCAGCCGATGGGAGCAAGTGGGACCCCAGGCCCGTGGGCGCCAGGCCTCAGCCAGCCGTGCCTGTTATGGGGGCCCGATGAGGAAATCGCTGCCGAATAAATGGCTGGACTGGTTCGGTTCTGGGCACTAGTGAGGACATCCGGCCGCTGGTGCTCAATGTGGGGGTGTCTGGGGAGAAGGGGTGTGGACTTGGGCTGTGGAGGGAGTGGTCGCCTCCTGTCAGCCCCATCTCATGCAGCTCGGCGGCCTGGTCGGGTGGACCCCACGCCTTCACCTTGGTCCCTGCAGCCTCAGTGACCCATTCCGGGGTGCTCACATGACTCAGTTTGGTTGCTGGAGCACCCAAGAAAGAGGTATGCTTTCCCCGTGAGGGGTGCAGAGAGGGTAAGCCTGGAGCTGCCAGCCATGGCGGGGGAGCTTTCCTGAGAGCGGAGCCATGCAGAGAGAGGCAGAGCGGGGGCGGGGGCATGCAGGGCTGGGTCCTGGTGGTGTCTTTGGAGTTTGTGGGTCCAGCTGTGCCTGCAGGCAGGTGCCCCTGGGACTTCAGGTTATGTTAACTAAAGGAGACTCCTTCCTGTTTTTTTTTTTTCCCCCTCGCTCTCTATTTTTTGGCTTAAACTAATTTGAATCAAACAATGAGCCGTGGAAAGGGTCCTAACTGCATAAATCCCCACCTGAGTTGAGCAAGCCTGACTTGGGATTTGACTTTTGCACCTGAAAATGAACATAGCAGGAGGAGTGGCACCTACAGGTTTGTGTAGAGAGGCCCTGGGAGGAAGGCTTGGGCAAGGAGCCTTGGAGGCTCAAGTCAGGCTGCCTTTGAGTCCAGAAGCTGGGCTCTGGCTGAGTCTGCTGTGTGGTTTTGGGGTGACTCTCTATGGAGCATTTACACGCCAGGTGCTGGGCCAAGTGCCTAGTGATGGTCTCTGCTGCTCACGGGGTTCCTGGGAAGGGGGTGGCATCTTGTTATAGGAAATAGGCTTAGAGGAGTTAAATGACTTGTTCAAGGTCACATCAGTAAAGGGAGGAGCCGTGATGCATCCAGGCTCATGTGACTTCACAGCCAGGGTAGTCTACAAACCAGGGAGCCTCACTGCCTCCCCTTCCCTGTCTCTGATGGGCCTCTGAGCCCTGCCCCACTCATGGAGGGAGCCCGGCCCACCCAGCCCTGCATAATCCTCCACTTGTCCAGGATGGGCAAGCCGGATGGACCATATGTATCTGAAGTAGTGAGATGTTCGGTGATGGATTAATTCGTGGGTGATTTTCACTCCTTCCCTCTGAACTGTAGAGAACAAAGATGCCAGTCTTTAGGTGTTAAGTTGAAGGACTAAGGGTAGGAACAGATTTGAAAGGACCATAAAGGGATATCAAGAGCTCTGCAATAGGGAGGGGGAGAGTTTTTAGAGAAGGGCATTAGGGGCAGTGTAGGAACAATTCCCCTTAACACTGGGGGCTCTCGGTGGAGGGGCCCTGGGCCGAGCTCCATGTTTGGAATTAGGGAGGACAGTCACCTGTCAGATGCTCCCTACACCACCAGAGCACGTGGAGACGGCCTTTTGGAAGCACTTGGCAGGTTAGTTGCCCAGATTTCTCTTGAATGGAGAAGGGAGAGGGCCCAGAGAATCCCGCGGGTGCCTGGCATGCAAGGAAGTCAGCTGAGAGCGTGCTAGAGAGCTTGCTGATTGGTCGTTGGAGGAACACAGCAGGAAGATGGTATAATAAGCCCAGCCCCCAAATGGGGATGTGATCAAGTTAGACTTGAATCGATGGAATTGAAATCATTGATGAGGCTGAGTTGATTTGAACATTACCAGATTAACTTCTCTGTTGGTTGGAAATGGGATTTGTTACGAGGATAAATTTGAGTTATCAAAAAGTCATTTTTGCATACCTGAATCTGGAGGACAGCTATGTTTCTGGAATTTCTGTCAATTACCATTGGAAAGGTCAACGTAGGGTTTGGGAGGTGTGGACCTAGAGAGCAAGGGGAGTGTGGTTTCTTTATGGTGGTCTGGGGTTACTCCTTTCCCCCCACTAAAAGGCCTTTGACTTAGGGTTCTTGGGGGAGGGATGTACTCTGGAAACTTGGTCAGGCCTCACTGTAAAGCTATTTTGGAGAAGTCCAAGGTGGGGCTTGGGGTTGGGGTGTTTTGTGGCTAGAGAATACTGAACTGGGCTCCTGGGGCCCAATTCCACCCTTGACCCAGCCAGCCCTCTGCAAACCCTGGGGCCCCAGAGGATGGAATCGTTTGGGAGATAATCAATGCACTGGAGGACACTCAGCCTCCTGTCCTACAAGAGCAAAAGTGCAATAGAGACACCCCTGGATCCTGAGGAGGAGAAGGAACTGTGGGGCCGTAGGAGGGAGAAGCCTTTGATACTGGTTAGAGCCCGCTCCTTTCCCTAGTTTTGCCTTTTCTTTTTCTTTTTCTTTTCTTTTCTTTTTCTTTTTTCTTTCTTTCTTTTCTTTCTTTCTTTCTTTCTTTTTCTTTCTTTCTTTCTTTCTTTTCTTTTTTTCCTTCCTTCTTTCTTTCCTTTTTCTTTTCTCTTTCTCTTTCTTCCTCCCCTCCCCCTCCCCTCCCCTCTTTTCTTTCCTTTCTTCCTTTTCTTTTCTCTTTCTTTTTCTTTTTTTCTTCCTTCCTTTCTTGATTTATTTGAGAGGAATAGAGTGAGTGCACGACTTGGGGGAGGGGGAGAGGGACAAGCAGACTCCATGCTGAGTGGGGAGCCTGATGTAGGCTTCAGTCCCAGGACCCTGAGATCATGACCTGAGCAGAAGTCAGACGCTTAACTGACTGAGCCACCCAGGAGCCCCAGTGCTGCCTTTTCTGACCCTCGTGTGGGTCAGCATTGTTCCTGTCCTGAAACACGTTCATTACATATTCATAAGTATACTGAATGGATGGGTTTATTTATTCCTTCACTTGACAGAGATTAGTAGGACGCAGGTCCTATTGCCGAGCCCATTAGAGCATATGTCAGGGCAGGAGGGTTTCTCCAGTGGCTCATAAACTACTCCGAAGAAAGCAGCTACCTTCTCTGGGCCAGGACCGCTGAGAGGGGACGGCAGTGCCACCATTGAGAGCTCCCTGGAGGACTGATGGAGACACACTTCTAAATAACAAAGAAGGTCATAATCCAACAGCTATGGCTCAGTGAGCCTTTCCTACGGTCCATGCGTTGTTTAAAAGCATCTCATTTTCCCAAGTGTTTCTTATAGTCCTTTGATCACAAGATCTAGAGCCACTTAGCTTAAGGAAAGAGCCCTGTGTATGGAAATGACCCAGCCTGGGAAGGCTGGTGCTGGGGCCCCAGAGACGAGCTTCTCCTGAGGCTTCTCCTGTGTGTGGAGCCAGATGGTCTCCCCGCCCCGCCCCCCGCAAGCAGGACCCTGGTCTGGTCCAGCCAGAGAGTGGGGAGGAAGCGGTGTGCACCTTGGAACCAGCCAGTCAGGAAATGCTGGCTAGGGTGGGGCCCTTGGTGACAGGCCTGCACAAGGGTGGCGGGGCCCAGAAAGATCGGTGCAGAGGTTCAGAAAATAAGTTCACCTACTTCTGTTTGCTCAGAGCTGGCCTGAATTTTTAATTGAAGCAAATTAAAACTTCCCAAAAATATTAGTCCACTTTCTTGGCGGTGCACACACCCCCTTCCCCATCAGCACTTTTGTACTGTCTGCAGATAAGCCAGGACTGGCCCTGAGAGAGCCCTTCCCCAGCCCCTGGCCTGGAGTTCCCTTTCAGAGGGGCCAGACCCATTTATAAGCGCTTCCCCAGAAGTCCCGTCCGGTCATGGTCCATATGGGGCAGACTCACCCGCAGTCATTCTAGGATGATTTGCCAAGTGGCCTGAGGCCGGAACCGTGGAAGAGGAGCTTTCCTCCATTTCTTTGTGCTTAAGTTCTCTGCATGTGGCTTTGTTTTAACAATGCAGCAAAGTTCTCTGTACCCTTCATCCTGGGGGTGCTCTTTCTTTGGTGACCCACGAGACAGGTGCTAGTATCAGCCACCGAGGAAGCCATCAAGTGTGAGGCCTTCGCTGCCCCTGGAAGTGTCTGGCCTTTAGCTGTGTGTGTCACCAGGCGCCAGGATGCACCTGCTCCTGACACCTGCCACACTGAGCGAGTGGGACCGCTTTGCTTCTGATGCCTGTGCACAGGTGTCCGTCCACAAGCAGTTGCCTCTCAGACTCTCTGCCCCAGATATCGACTTGTCTGTTCAGTTTGGCCTCCCCCCCGCCCCCCAAGCAAGTGCTTATGGATCAGCTGTCCAGCCTTGGGCTTGCTGGCAGTGGAGGGAAAGGATTCACTCCCTAAAACTGTCCATAATGGCACTTTGCTGCATTTTCTGTAGAAATAAGGTAGGATGGGATATATTCATGTTAGCTTCTATTTGTATAAATGAATTCCAGAGGGACAAACAAATTGGTGGTGGGGGATGAAGACAAGAACAGGGCAGAAGGGGTCAGGGATGGTATTGAGGCTCTGTTACTTTTTATTTGAAAAATATTTCTAAACTCCCTGAATGTATTTTGATTCAAAAGTAATATTAAAAATTTAGATGAGGCCCTGGGGGGGAGGTCAGTGGCCAAAACTGAGTGATATATTTACTTACTTATTTTTA